TGCGGCCGGTCTCAGAAAGGACAAAAATAATAATAATAATTTCTTTCTTTAAGAATTAGGGCTACCATGAGAAACATGGTAAGGCTTATGCGAGGTTTAATAAGATATGTTCTGAGGGGAAAAGTTATTATTTCATATTATTAGTAACAGTGATTGTAAATACTCTTTCTAAAAATGTATGGTAAATAGATGTCAGTTTCAGAAATGTAGTAGTCAGGAATAGACTACTTAAAAAAATGGTATTGACAATGAATTAAATAATGAGAAACTTGCAGTTTGACTATTTTTAGATGGTTGCTGTTTAGGATGACCTAAAACTATGAAGTATGGAAGCATCAGTATGCTTTGAAAGTGGTAATATTAGTAACAAAAAGGAACAAAAGAGAGGTGACCTTGTTAGAAAATATTTGCATCTCAGGTTTTAAACTTTCCTTTTGATTTTGACAAGCTTAGCCCAGTTCTGTGATCTACAGCTGGGGGTGGGAAATTGACTGATTTCCTAAGGGAGCAGAGATTTGGTTATTTTATTCATTGTAACTCATAGCAAACTACTGATAACAATGACAGATATTTATTCCTAAGTTCTCTCTTAAATATGTCCAGATTTGAACAGGGATGGTTTGGAGAAATCAATAGATAGTGATTGATGAATTGTAGTAGGTATATTTAATTTTCATTGAAATTGGAGCGGTCTTTTTGCAAAACAAGATTGTCCAATATTAGACATCTATTTGGTAGGTAAATGTGTATGTTTTCTTGGGATTTAAAAAACTTAAGAACAAGATAATGAGTCAATTTGAATAATTTGGCACAAATTCTCATCAAATATCTGGTTAATTGTAATTTAATTTTAGCTAGATCAAAATATCTCATAAGATAATACTGTTTGTTGTATAGGTCTCAGGCAAGATTATGCTTCTACTTCAGCATCTGTGTCAAGACATAGTTCCAGTGTGTCATTGAGTTCAGGAAAAAAAGGGACATGTAGTGATCAAGAATATGATCGATACAGTCTGGAGGATGAGGAAGAATTTGATCATTTGCCACCACCCCAGCCTCGTCTCCCAAGATGTTCACCTTTCCAAAGAGGAATTCCCCATTCACAGACTTTCTCCAACATTCGGGAGTGTAGGAGGAGCCCTAGTTCCCAGTATTTTCCTTCAAATAATTACCAGCAGCAACAGTGTTATTCACCTCAAGCCCAAACTCCAGATCAGCAACCAAATAGGACCAGTGGAGGTAGGTCGTATGCCCTCTTGGTATTTGATATGCTTTGATCTTTTATATATGAAATGGTTTTAAGGTCAATGTAAATAATTGGTAAGTGTTTCTCAGAATTAAGTTCATCTTCAAGACCTTATCAGTTTGGTTTAAATTTGCATCTGTAATTGACCATCTCTGACTGCGTGTCCCAGGTTTATAGATTTATAGCTTCAAGAAAACTACCATGGTGTAGCTGGCTCTGAATGAGTTGTGGATGGGCAGTGTCTTTATGCTGTTGCTATACAGCTGTAGGGCAGGGCTGTGCGAGCTGAGGAGTGGATGGCCGAGCCCCGTGCAGTCAGAGGCTCTGAGTTGCATCGTTCCTCACCTGTTGTGCAGCCTCTAGTCTCTTAACTGCCTGTTCCTAGCACAGAGTGATGGTAAGCCTGGACGCTGCTGCTCCTGCACATCCAGATTTAGAGAAAGTTTGGGATGTTTCTTTTCCTCTGATTTACTGACATCTAGAATTAAGATCTATGTGTAGAAATGGGAATATAGAGATGATATTTGGCGTGGTAGTGGGAAGTTGATCTGTCCTAGTATCAGCATGGTTGGAGAATGTGTCATT